ACCCCACACCCCCATTTTCTTCCCCACAAAAGATTATAGCAACAACACAGTCCCCTCCCCGCTTCCTCTCTACCAAGAACACAGCAGCACAGTTTGGTGCTTAAATTCTCAAGTTCATGACAACCAGCCAGAAAAATGAAATAATAAATATTTCCTGAACATACTCCTTAGGTTACACTTTCAGTTTTGAAAACCTCCCTGGATAGAGCAAACCACATAACTTTCAACTTCCCTACTGTTCACAATACCCACTTGGTAGGTAAAAATGATATGGCTTTCCACCTCTCCATACCCCCTATCCTGTTTGGGTCCACTCCTGCCACAGGGCATTCCCAAGTGACTTCTGAAAATGAGTGGGGCTTGTGGTTTCTCTAATTGCTCTTTCCCTCTCTATTCCCTCTCTTTGATCTTACACTGCGATTAGCCCTTTGCTTCCCTTACTTGCTTCATACAGGAAGGCGTGAAAAAAGTCAAGGAAGTCAGAGGGTTGAGGGGGAGGATTTGGACCCTGGAACATACAAGGAAGAACCCAAAAAACCCCAGAATTTGTTTATGAAAAATATATTCTTACATGTTAAACTTCAGTCACCAAAGTATTCTCTGTTTGATGCAATACACCTATTGATATACTTTTTTCACTGCTCAGTTTTCAAACTCATGAATTTTGGTGCCTTTTAGCGCTTCTGCCGGTTTTTTGTGTTGTTTTGTTTTGTTTCAACTCTTCCACATCAGCAAAACATTTCCCTTTGAGCACTATTTTCATCCAGGGAAACAAAGAAAAAAGTCGCTCGGAGTGAGAGCAGGTAAATTGAGAGGGGAGGGCATTGGGGTCAGGCCATTTTGGGTCAAAAACTGCTGAACACTCAGTGTCATGTGGGCAGTGAACTCGTAAATCATCCATCATGAAACAGGCGAATGCATTGAAAGAATCTCTGAAAAAAATTCAGTGCAGCCAAATGCAGCCTCTGACGACAACAGGAGCGGTTCCACTGATGCTGATGGGTTCCTAGAACACTTACCCAGCAGGGGAAGCCTGTACTACAAGGGGCCCACCCTCCAAAAAGATAATTCCAGGTTTTTTGGGGTCCTCCCTCAGACGTCATAGCTCAAACTCTGGTATAAACTAAGGTCCAGTCCAATGGGGTTCTAGGATTTAGATGCAAGTACAAAACAAACCCCTAGAGGCTCTGAAAGAAAAAAAGAGAAAGCATCCATAAGGTGGCTATCTTCAGTTCCCTCTCTCTACATAAACAGGACTTTGAGAGAATCTCCTCTTATCTTGCCTGAAGCTCTACTCCCTCAAGCAGCAGCAATAACAAGGTTATAATCAAGAGGCCAAGAGCGGGTCCTCAGCTAGGAAGCAAGACTGCCCTGGTAGAATCACTAAGGCAGCAAGTACTGCTTGGTCCCTGGAGGGAGAAGGCTGAGACCAGAAAAGGGGTAATTGCCTAGAACCACCTATCAGAATGGGAGATCACCCCAAGTCAAAAAGCTTCTAGCTTGCCTTTCACCACCTCCGTAGTACAGTTCTTAGAAAACAGGCCCTGGACTGACCCTCAGCAAAGAGTTTACAGGTTCTCCAACTTGCAAATGGCCTCCCCTTCATTCTTCATGTGTAGGCCTCGTTTTGTTTTTCTCTCCCTCGAGTAACATGAAAACATAGCAGAGGATATCCCGCCACAGAGTTTGCTTCCTTTAGCAAAAACAAAAGGAAGTGCCCTCCCTGTGAAATCACCAACCCCTGGAATTCCAGGGAGGCAGGGCCATGCACAGAGGGAGGGCACCAGCCAGAGGGCCAGGTGATAATATCACACAGGTCCTCTGCCCCAGTCACACAGTGGGTCTGGCACAGAAACAGTGCTAAATAGACATATGTTGAGACAAAGATGAAAGAAAGGAAAAGAGAGAGGGAAAGGGAAAGAGGGAGAAGGAGACAGAGGTGTATAGATGAACAGAAAAGCTGGCAGAACAGCACTATGATTAAAAGTATCATTTTAGCCAGACACGGTGGCTCACACCTATAATCCCAGCCCTTTGGGAGGTCAAGGAAGGAGGATCACTTGAGCCCAAGAGTTCAAGACCAGCCAAGACTAGCAAGACCTCATTTCTACAAAAAAATAAAAAAATTAGCCAGGGATAGTAGCGTGCACCTGTAGTACCAGTTGCTTGAGAGGCAGATGCAGAGTTACTTGAGAGGCAGATTGCCTGAGCCCAGGAGGTCAAGGGTACAGTGATTGTGCCACTACACTCTAGGTGACAGAGTGAGACCCCGACTCAAGTAAATAAATAAACAAATAAACAAGCATAAAAGTATATATAAAAATAAAAGTGTTAGGCAGGATGTGGTGGCTCAAGCCTATAATCCCAGCATTTTGGGAGGCCGAGATGAGAGACTTACCTGAGCTCAGGAGTTCGAGACCAGCCTGGGCAACTTGGTGAGACCTCATCTCTA